ATCATTTTACGTATCAGTATAGTCGGATTAGGTAACTTTGTCTCCTATAACACCACTTTTATATCAGTTACTTGATGTTACTTAATTATATTTATTTTTTTTTCTGAAGTTTACGATAAAATTTTATTTTTTCCTCCAAAAAATCGAACCGGCAAGTAGTCCATTTATAGATTGCCTGAATCCTAAGACGCGACACTCTGTCTCACAATCAGTCAGAAGGGATAATATCATTCATATGGGATGGCATCTTCTGTTATTTACATTTTTTTCGATAGTCATTCCGAGTCGTATACTTTATTGTATTACTTTATCGTATATACTTTATTGTTAGTTATCCGTGCATCCGGCAGCTTATTGTCAAAACACAAGCGATAAGTATGGGATAATCGATGTCAACACGAAAATCTAACAGAAAATTACATCTACAATACATAAATCCGACTGTTATACAGGTAACTCTCGAATAACATGATTAATCGGCTCTGTGCTATTGAAAACCGTGTTATTTTCGAGACTTATATATTGTTAAATTTGTTGGACGTATTCATACGATTTTGGAGATCACGTTTTATGCTATTAAAAACCGTGTAATTCAAGATTTTAGATTCGTATAAAATTGAGCCTTTGGTGGTTTCAAGGAATTATTTAAAAAAACTTTTAAAAAATTAAAAAAGGGTTGTCACAATTTTTTGCCGTGCTATTCAAGAGAGACTCCGTGTAATTCAAATATCCTGTTATTCGAGGGTTATCTATAATCCACATGTATTCGCTTATCTAAAATAATTCGTTAATTTCTTAATGCTCACAAGCTGGGTCCGGATCTCTCATTAGATCATCGATATCTTTCTGAAAGATAAGATTTATCAGAATATTTTTCTGATAAGAAAAAAGATATCAATCCTTTTTTGCTTTACCGAAGTTTTAGAATTCCACGAATGTGACGGAGCTCCATATAAGATCCTGGATATGTCAGATGGTTCAATCAGTTCCGGCTTTGGCAAGTTTATAATAAGACGATAATACGATATACGATTTGCCGATATAAATAACGGTTTCTTCAACGGTGAAAATGTGGTTCATAGGTCGAACGCATCGGCCTCGTTGCATGATTCAATCCCACGATTTCAATTCGCATTCAATTCATATCATTTATTAATTCCTGTCGACGTGTGCGACACTTACAAACATTTATATCCTCTCCATGCAGCCACTGTAAAAAAATTTTGTAAAATTACAATCATTATAATGGGTAATTTTGAGACCCACTATAATAGGTGTAAATTTCCACGCATTTTTAATTTGTGTAATTGTAGTACAAAATTACTTTTTCCTTCCGTACTGTAATTTTGTAAAATTACAACTATTATAGTGGGTAATTTTGAGACCTACTATATAATAGGTGTAATTTTACAAAATTTTTTTACATTGAGATCTGAGAGATAATTTACAATGTTTTTTGTGTATCTCATTTCGTGCGCACCAATGCATGGATTTTTCTTTTTTTTTTACACGTGCCTCCGTATTCATGTTTTTGAATTCATAGTCGTTCGATTTAATATTCAACGTGGTCAGTTCGGCGAGAACAGTAGTTACGTAATCGAAATGCTAATTACATGAAATATATTATTCCGAATCTCTCTCTCATTTCCATTCGATGTTATCAACATATTTTCTTCACGCACATATGTAATGCGTTGCGATAGCCCGACGCATAATTCTTCAAGCTGCAAAAAATCTGCACGCGAGTGTGATCGTCAAACTATATTTTTCAGATCTCCATAAATCTCTCGAATGAAAAAAATTTCTTGATTTTTTGTTAACCGATTATATAGAGATAAAGTAGAGGATGAAATACTTGATTTTCGCTTATTTGCGAGAAATAGTTTGGATCGCGAAGGATTAAACGATCGAATAACAATGCCGAGTAATTATGTCGCAATTATATATTATTATATAATATATATATCAAGATTATTCGATGTCTCTACCAGCATTCTGTGGTTCACGCAGCCTAGTAAAAAAGACAAATAATCGCGCGTGCAATTATCGGAATATCATTCCGTATTTTTTGAACAAACGAACGGTTCATTGGCAGTCGTTATCCATTCTGGCATTTCGGCTTTTGCCTTGACCATCGAAAGAGAAATCCCGTTTGGATCGAGGTCCTGATGCTGGTCGAAGCCCGCGGTGTCATCGTCTCTCCTTGATCTTTCCGCGCAATAATCGCACGGCGTAGAATCGCGAGAGCGGTTCCGACACGTGATGTCAGCTCGCGTCCGTATCGGTTATCTCTACGGCCGGGCACGAGAGATATGGCGAACAAAGCGATGCTGTTTCCTATCTGTCAGCTAAGCTGCGTATCGGATACGCTGACGTTTTACATCGGCTCGCGCTGACTCCCTAACATTTTGCGCACATCATCTGATAACTGATAACCCTTCCGCGTATCTATTTATTCCTCCCCCGTCCCCCTCGTTACTCTTGCCCGCTCGGCGTTCGTCCGTTTCTTCTATGACGTGTGAGACACCGCGCGAGAATTGAGAAATCCAAAATAACAGCTCCGTATCAGCGGAGAAATACGCGACTCCTCTTCTTTTTCGGCTCCAAGATCAAGCTCGTGCGGCTGACCGAATGTAAACATTATGCGAATCTTAACACACACGCACGTACTTATCTCGGCGAGATTCGCTGAATGCACAGCCGGACCGCCGCGCCGCACAGGCGGACGAAATCTGAAAATTCATGCTTATTCGCAGATTTATTCAAAATGCAAGTCGGTGATATACATATCTCTGTTGCGCGCGGACATGTAGGAAAAAAAATTGAAAATTGAACTCGAAGATCAGCCTTCTACATTTGTTTCCCTCTTAAATTGGGACAAACATCGTTATTATTTTTTTTTCGTAGATTCACATAGTGCGGAGGAGATATTCAAGTGCGAATTTGCTTTAGATTAATTTTTTAAACTAAATTTGTGTATAAAATTTTATATTAAATTTGTGTTAAATAGCCTATCTGCAATTTTGGTTCGAAGTATCCTATCTTTGCTGCAAATGATCAATCTTCTGAAATAAACGACGAGATACCTTGGGCGTCACCGCGGATTGTTTCCGTACATCATTTTGCGATTTTTGCAGCGGGTGATTTTCCAAGGATCACCAGAGATCACGAAGCGTTATTTCAACAAGAAATGTGGCATGATCGATCGGAAGATAACACACGCGCAAAGATATCTTTCCTCGGCTCCTATCGCTCATTCTTTCTTTCGCCATTGACGTAGAATTGTCTGCGGAATTTAACTTGGAGCAAATGCCAGAGAGATAGAAGGGGAGGTCGTCATGAGGTTACGTAAAAATAGACGCATCTGGGTTTATTTATTGCCGATTTATCATGGATATCGCGAGATCGGCGTTATTACATGGTAGTTCTAAAAAAGAACATATTTTGTATCTTCAAGTAGTTTGCGACATCGCACTATATGCGTAACATCGACATCGGGATGGGATCGCGCTTTCGAACATTCAAGAAAAGCCGTTTCGTTGTTTTCTTGCGTTAAATTCTGAGAATTAAGATTTTTCGACGCGTATAGTGTTACATATGCGTTCGAAGCGCTAATAGCGATATCTTATTAAAAAGTCTCTGTTGTTTAGTAGCTGGATCAATAAATGAATAAAAGCGAATATCTCATTAGAAAGTGAATATCTCATTAGCGATAGGAATGTTGTTGATCGTCGGACATGAATCATAAATTGCAGTATTTTCATATAGCAGTTAAGAGTCTCGATAAAAGACCTAACAAGAGTAAACATTATCAAGATTAACGAGTTGAGAGATATGGTTTTTTAATTACATCTACTTGTGTTAGACAGGCGAATTCTAAATCTAAGACCTTGAAGAAATATAAATATCTATTCGTAATGAAAATCTGCGAGCACACCATACACCACACACACACAGCTACATCCCTCTCTCCTCCACATACAAAATTCCTAAAGCTTTGAACATGATTGTTTCAAAACCTTATTTTTATTCAATATTCTATCGACAAGCTATGCCAATTGATATCTTGTAAATATCTTATCAAATTTGATTAATCCCACATTGATCATTGTTTTCCTTTTCCACCTCAAGAGAGATTATGAGCATATTTTTAATGACAAGTATATACAAGCATATATATTTTAATTTTATTTTTTTTTAATATTTAATTAAAAAACATTTGTTATAAATATTAATGCATAAATATTAAATTTTTATATATATGTATATATCTACATAAAATTAAAATATATATATTTTTATTTTACATATTTTAAATATTTAATTAGAAAAATATTTCTTATAGATAACTTAATGCATGTACATAAATCTGCATATACATGTGCAGATTATACACAGATATGGGTGTATCTTTAACCTTTAGAAAACTTTAGAGGACCTTTAGAGCAGTTTTTTTTTTATTTACAAGTAAAGATATAGTAGGAAAATAGTAAAGAAATAGTAAAAAAAATAGTAAAGAGGCGACATAAAATATCTAAAGGTTTTACAAAAGAGGTCTAACAATAAGAGGATCAGAGTAATCGCTTTAATTCTCAGAAATGGCCATACTCACTTGTTTCTCTTAGATTCCCGGAACTATTCAACGAGCCAAAAAACCCTTATACATATGATATTTTAGCGTATAAACAGTTTGAAACCTAAAAACAAGTTTCTCGTCCTCTAAAGGTTAATGATGATTTCACCTTTGTTGAATAATATAATTACAAATTTTTGGTATATTTAAATAATAATAATTTTTACTTAAAGAAACCGTTTGCGTGAAATTGTGGTAATAAGGTGGTTGTAATGCGAATTTATTGCATTTATATAGCCTGCTTCTCTGTTAAGATGGATTTATCATAATTGATCAAATTCTGTCGATGCATCGGTGGCAAATTCATAAATAACAGTCCTCAGGTTGGTCTTGCTCTAATTCAGGATCGTTTTTTATCTGCTTTCAGGCGAAATGACGAGCAACGTATTACGCGTGGCACGTGAAGCGCGACAACGCACGCTCGGACCGTTCAGTCCATCCTTCAATGTGCAAGAGATACTGCTGGACAGCCTGCGAAAGGTGAGTGGAACAAGAAATGACGACATTACCGCATTAGAATTTGCATCTGGGAGTCTATTTACGTACTCTATTCGTTCCTGCATCCTAAATAACGTTCTTGCATCATTCAGTATCAACGTACAAAGTGGAGTTCTCCGATTTAGATTTCTAATAATATAAAAATTCACTATTAATACGCCATGTTTGCAGCCGTTTTTATTTCAGTCTTCTTACTATTATTTTTATTCCAGTTTTTACCAGATGATGCACATACCCGTGTAAATGGTAAATTACACATCTCTCTAACCAGAGTGTATGACGGCAAGAACGTAATCGTTTCCCAATTTAACTCAAAGGAAGACTTGCTGCAGGTAAGATATGTTAGAAGTTAGATCAATTTTTGTCCATAATAGATTCTCGTTAAAGCACCATTCACGAGATATTCTGAGAATTAATTTTCTGTTCCTTCGAAGAAGTTTTATATATGTAAAAATTTTGAAGTCTATTTTTTTTCAATAAATAAAAGTATCTTCGCTCGTCTGAAGTAAAAGCTAATCGTATGTTTCTATTTTTTTCATATTATTAACAATTTTTCTTTCTGAGAAGTTGTTCATCTTCCTTTACGATAATATTTTCTGTTTTTTAAAGGCTCTACTAGCTACTTCGTTCGTGCCGCTGTTTTCTGGTTTGTTGCCACCACGATTTCACGGGATCAGATACATGGACGGCGGTTTCAGCGATAATCTTCCTACGCTCGATGAAAATACTATTACCGTTAGTCCGTTCTGCGGAGAGAGCGATATCTGCCCGAGGGATATTTCATCTCAACTTTTTCACGTACGTATTCACGCGTATCAATAAAATAATTCCTCGATAAAGAAATTAAAGCAACTTCGACATACATGATTAATTTTTATAATTATCATTTATTTGCATTATTTATGCATGTTCTTGTATTTTGCAGGTCAATGTCGCCAATACAAGCATAGAGCTCTCTAGACAAAACATATACAGGTTTACGAAGATACTTTTTCCGCCTAAAACGGAGGTAAGACGAAAATGTTGATTATCCCTTTTGATACTGCATTAAATACTTCAAATTAGCAGATATAATTTTACATGCTTTTAAATTACAGACTCTCTCGAGTATGTGTAAGCAAGGATTTGACGATGCGTTACGATTTTTACATCGTAATAATCTACTGAACTGCACAAGGTGTCTCGCTGTTCAGTCTACATACATAGTTCAGGAAACGATCGACGATGGTATGGAATATGATCCGGAATGTGTAGAATGTAAAATGCATAGACAGGTGAGAGAGTCTACAATACTTTCAGTAGCGGCAATAATTTTGATAATAATATTTTATTCTATTTATTTTAAATATAACTTAAACTCGATTTTAGTAACATTTGTTAATTTTTAAATTTTTGAATTTTAAATTATTCTTATTTTACGTTCTTGATATTCCATTTTAGGAAGCATTGGTAGCTAATATGCCTGAGACTGTGATGACAATATTCCAAGATGCTATAGATTCTGCCAACAAGGGACTTATTAACTGGTTGTTTAAGCATCGTAGTATGAAGCTGTTGTCGTTGTTGAGTTTACCTTGTACACTACCGGCAGATGTAATGTACGCTACAATCACAAAGTAAGTAGCTGTTGAAATATATGCGCATGCAAATATGCATCACATACACGCTTTACATAACAATATTTTTATATAAATACACGTGCACATATAAATAAGTATTATACTTAATGCTTTTCATTTTTCTCATTAATTGGAGGTGCTGCATGTCACAAATATATATATTTTGTAAATTAATAATCTTTATTATTAAATATTGCAGATCAATTAAGATCATTATTAACAAATATTTTGTCTAGAAGAATTTTTAAAGCAGATTTTGTTTAAAATAAATTTGAATATAAAAATTTGAGATTTTTTGTATATATTTATTTGTGTTTGAAACATTAATTAATATTTTTATAAGTGCATAGATTTAATATTTTCTGAATTAAAACCACTACACACATTTTGAAAAACATTTTTTTAGGACATGAAAACTTTATTTTATTTAAACTGTACAAAGAAAAAATTTTTAATTTATATGTTTGTATCAAAATTAAATTAAATCTCTCTCCATTATTTTTTGTTATTTTGACACAGTACTTTATAAATACATTTTTGAGATTTTAAAGTTTAAGAAAGCAAAAGCAATTTTTTAATCGTCTAGACAGGAATTTCACCTTAAGTTTGTTTTTTATTATCTTTTATTGCATCGCATTGCATGAGCAACAATGTCACCATTGATACATATCACAGATTCAGTCAATTGGCAATTCAGGCAATTTCACGCATAATTACCGCTTGCAATATTGTATTTAATGTCATGCATGTCATTGGTAGTCTGATTGGTAACAAGATAGAATCTCGTACCTTGGAATTCAAAGTAGTCGGAAATGTTCTGCGTACCCCGCAACAGGCACTTACTCACAATAAGCATTTAACACACTCTCGGTAAGCATAAATGCTTTCTTTATTTCGTGATACATTAATGCATACCTGCGAAATTACTAAAGCATTTATTGTCTGAAATCTTATTTTAAATTGTAAATCTACGTTTGACGCACATATTGATGTTAAAGTTTTTGTCATTCTTTTATGAAAGTATTTTGATACACGCGCGGGTTTTACATTACATTGTGAATTTATACTTTGTAGAGGTGCGAAAGATAAAAAGTAATAAAGTATCTCAACGGACATGTCTGTTCGTAAATACTAGTAATATTTTATAACGATTTACTTTGCAATTAATGAAAAACATTTTTTTTTATTTCAGATTCATTACGAGCGTTCCAAAGCTACGACATAACTTAGCGGAATTAACTAAATTTGTCTTACAACAATTGAGTATAATGTTCCCGAAGATTAATGTTTATGCTGAGCCATTGCCTCAAACGATCAAGTGTTATTTCAACATTATGGAATTCGATACGAGTAAGTACATTTTGACCAATGATTTTTAACCTAAACTTTTAAATCAATTATAATAAAAAAATTTTACTTAATTATGTAAATAACGTGGCAGAAAGCAGTAAATGTCAATATGGTTTAAGTGAGCTTAATGTGGCTTAAATTATTTAGCAGATATGATTCTAATATTTTCGAACATTTGCAGATACTTATGATGTGCAGGATGCAGACGAGATAGACGCTATATACAAAAAGCAAAAGAACCTGAATTTGACTCTCCAATACAACGAATGGTAAGTAATTATAGTGGAGACAGTTCTCTTATAGAATTATATTTAACAAATTTTTGAATTAATGTCATCGTTGTTAAAATATTTCATGTTATAGTGGACAATTGGAAAAATGGAAAGATTCAAGGAAATCGAGCTGTGTAATAAATATGGGCGACTGTACGTCAGTGGATGATACTTTCGAAAATATTCTCCAAGTGAGTAACAAGAAAAATAGAATGTTCAAAACACATATTTGAATAAATTCCAAGATAAATTTTATATTGAATCTTATAACTCTTACTAGGCAACGTCGGATCAAGAGGCCGTAATAGCGTATTATTATATGGATGATAACAATAAAGTGCAAGTGACAGAAATCTTCGATGTAACGGAATCAGAATCGCATACCATACTTTCTTCGGATGAAGTTGACACCAATAAAAAACTCCAATTCGATGATTGGGATGAGCCTACATGGTTATCTCAACATAAACTCAATGACGGTAATTAATTGATATTTTCTTTCTAAAGAAATATTAACGATAGATATTTATGATCAATATTTTAAAATAAATTATTCAATGATTTTTTTATTATCAATCTAATTTAATTTTTTAAATTTTGTAAAATGTATTCAGCAGCTACAGAGTCTCTTTACACCGACGGAAATCAACAAAGCATGGAAAATTTGTCTGATGTATCGTTAGAAGATGATATACTGGATAGTGCAAATATATTCTCTGATCCGGAAAGTGAATGGGATATGGAAAAGGACCCAGAACAAGCGGAGGTGTCTAAATCTCCGGACAGTCGACCGGAAGTAGATCAACCATCCACAAGCTTACTATAGAAATAGGTTAATAGCTTGTTACCACATATGTCGTTACCACATATAATATAATTAATAATTAACTTTTTGGATGATATGTTGCAAGAACATATGTGCGCTATTTAATTAATTATGAATAATTTATAGAATGAGACATTTAAATTAATCTACTTGCATATTTCTATTTTGCGTGAATGTATGAAAAAGTCCGGTTTGAGAAAGAAAAATAATGATTTTTCAGATTTTTATTATCACCGTTTATATAATTATGTTATCTCAAATAAAATTATAACTTTTTTAATATTGAAGCCAAAATATTTTATAAAAAATAAATTCAACCATGTATATCTATGTACATACATTTATATTTTACGAATCTTTTTTGAGATAATTGTTATCAAAGAATTAGAAAATTTTTATTAAAGCTTGTCACCATTTTTACTTTTCAGTAGATATTCGTGTTTTATTTCATATCGTTTTAATGCTTTGATATCTATCTGGAAATTTGACGCCGCAACGAAATATGTTTTTATTACACATTGTTACTTTAATCACAAAATAAAATTTCTAAAAGTGATACATGGGTCTGTGTATGTTATAGATCTATATATGTATATGGTACTATGTGACCTGTGGTTTTTACTACATTTAATATGTGTAGCATTCAAAGTTAAATGTCTCACTCTATATAAATATGTACGTTCCATTCTGAATGTTCTTGCAAGATATAATTAAAATGCGTTGATATACAAGCACAATTACTGAATACATGCCAATAATGTCATTTGCATTTAAGTGTCTGTAGTACGACGTGCAACAGTATTCTATCGTAATCCAAGTTTGCTAACTCGGATTTGGAAATTCAACGAGCGCTTGCCCGAGTTAATACATTTTACACAGAGACTGATATATCGGTGATTAAAAAGCGTGGTGTCTCAAAACCGTCGGTATTTTTGGCACTAGAAAGAAACTCTAGAAAATCGATCTTTCTTCAGCAAAAATAGACGAGTGTAATTAACGAATAATGAACGAATGAAAACAGGGAGGGTGATGGACTGAGCTTCAGAAGAGGAAACAGATGACATATCACATATTTTGTGAATTGGAAATAGATATAATGTTAAAGATTAGACGATCATTTTATTACTATAAAATGGTGATTCTATACTTGAATTAAAAAAATTATCTCCAAATTATTTATGATTGTTTCTTCTTGATTTATTGGTTTATTAATATTCGTTTATAGTTAAAAGAGTATCTGATGTTACGCTTTGGTTATATAGTCATATAGTGTATAAAAGATTACAGCTAATTTGTAGGATATGCTGAAGAGACAAATATTTGACAAACTTGAGTCCGGAAATTATACGTTTCCGAGCTATAAGATGATTTCTCTAACTAATGTCCATTTCTACCAATGTAGATTAACTTTAATCACGATTTTACTTACTTTTTATTTTTAGTTCTAAGAAATTAGAAAAAGTAAATTATACATAATTAAACCGATATACAAAAGACTAAAATTAATCTGCATTGATGGAAATGGACATAAGTGAACGTGGACTTCAGTAGACTTCTCGTTTATAATATACATATAATCGATATATCCGTTGTTTACCTTAACATTTGTTTGAACACATTTCTTCAGGAAATGTGTATGTTCAAACATGTATGATTTTTAGACTTGTGTTTAAAATATTATTTTGGTTTGCTTTGATAATTACTATCATAAACTCCTAAACTTTGGCAGTAATTTTTTGTATTCTATAATCTGACGTGCAACTATTTTTTTTCTCTGCTCTACTGTAAGCTTATATTCATCATACAATTTTATTTCTTGGAGTCTTTCTATGATTACCTACTAAGATATGATGTGTTAACAATGACATCAATTCACAATTTCGATGAATATAAGCATAAATTATTTTTATTATAATTGTTTATCGCTTGTTATGTATATATATAATGGATAGATCCAGATTTTTTTGTTTCTCCTATAGCCCATACGTGGAACGACGCAGATTATAGATCATAAATATCTGCTAACGTTTCTCGAAAATTTTAATGAATGTAACTCTATGCAGTTACCTCTATTATAATTTTGTTATTGTTCAAGAAGTTGTTGAAACATACCGGATCTGGAGGTTGTGAAAATAGAATATATAGTTTAAAAATATCTTAATGTAACATTTAAGATTATAGAATAAGTTTTGTATTTTTGTCATACCATCTTCCTGCTAGCGTTAATTACTGTTGGATAATTATTATCGTAATTCAATTTCTATTCTTCAAGATAGCATAATCTCGAAGTTATAGATTATTTATAATAGATTTATTAAAACAAATCTTTTGTGATCGTATACGGCTGGGTCTGAGTGTTAAAGATTATACAGATTTTATATCACGTGTTAGGAAACAGGATTTAGACAATTGATCATGACCAATTTAGCTTTTATAACAATATCTTTCATATCTAATAGTTTTTATATACATGTTTTAATTATATTTAAGTTTCTGATTACTTATTTTAGGATACCTACATATTCCACTTTATACAAGATCGGAATTGTACAAAAGAAAATTTGCCTACTATTTGCCCAAGTTTCATGATAATTTTATTCAGAAAATGGGAATATAAAAAATATAGATAATATATAACTGCTGTGAAATGTTCCCATATGTAAAAATTATTCCAAATAGATGTGCAAATTATCTTTTTTATCCATTGTAGGTTTAAACAATGCAATTTTTTTAAATGTTATCATTTATATCGCGCGATTTCGATTAACAAGATTAAATTTTTTATTTGGTTATTAACAGTCTCCCTACTTGTTAATATATGAATGATCCAATTAAAGAAGTATTGTTAAAAAAAACGTTGGTCTCATTGATAAATCTTCCTTTTTATAAAACATTGATATGATATAAAATCTTAATTTTGGTGATTACATTGTGAATGGTTACGCTTATTGTTGTGTTACCTTATTGTAAGTAGAATAAGTAGATTAAGTGCTAATGAATAAATCAAATTGACAATCAAATCAATTATCCTGTTTATAATTGATGTATAAAAAAACATTAATTAGTGAACACTGATTGATATTTAGGAAATACTTTGTCAGATTTAAATTTTGAGTAACTTGTAAAAGAAGCATGAGAAACGTTTATTTTATAAACAAAGAATTCTAATAATATTTAATAAGTATTAACAAAATATTTAGTTTTTGGTATTTTTTTAAATGCTAACGATTTGTTTTTTATTTTGCAAAGTGTTTCGATTATTTATACATAGATGTAGATAACCGATGAACATTGTACGATAGCATTACATTAAAAAAAAATAAATGCATTTACATATATGTTTTGCTACTCTTCTAGTTTTGCGCATGGATTCCTTGACAACTTTTATGATGCCCGTAATTTGTATAAAAATACTAAAAAAATATTTTGTGGTATTATATAAAATATGTACTTTATTATATACAAATAAAAATTGTGCAACACACGTATCAAAATGTACAAATAAATGTTAACGACGGCTAGATTACATATGACAGTCTCTTGGAAAAATACGAAATGGAATAAATTTCAATAGATTAAATAAAATTTGTTTGATGTATATAATTAAATAAAATAAAATACATCAATGAGAGTTAACATTGTTCTTGTCAGTATTCATAAAATAGATTAAGAATACGAGGATTGATTGCAAGATTTCGATAGTGCTACAAAAAGGGATAAAGATCAATAAAAACTGGAATATTTATTATGTTTTTAATATAAAACAAATCGTATCATATATATTTATATATATATAATATATATATATATGTATAAGTTATATTTACAATAATTGAAACCTCCCCTAAAGTAACATTTTAAGGCGGACATTCATTTGGGAGAAATGCATTTATTGCACATGGTCATTAATATTATGTAATACTGATCTGGTAAAATATTCTGTATATTTTCTTATATATTTTGTATATTTTCAGTCGGCAGATACGAATAATTTGCTAGAGTAAAACTTCGTCGTAACTAAGTAGACAATTTAAAACAAAAACACATTTTTCATACGATTTTCACATGCAAAAAATTAAAATCTCATATTCATAATCATAATGTAATATACAAATGCCTCACTACATTTCTTTCAGGCGGGCTTCAATTATTTCGACGTAACATGATCATTATCATTTATTTGAACATATTCAGGCGGGGTCTTCCCCCGGGGCAGACGTAGAATTTCTCTGAGCTTCAATTTGCGTTCTGCTTTGAGAACTTCCCGCTGCGACAGCAACTTTATGCTGCGCAGCTAAACATTGTTGTAATTGCTGAAGCTGTAAAATGAAAATAAATGTTTCTTGCAACAATATAGCTAATTCTTTTAATTTTATAATAAAAATATTACATAATATAAAAAAAAGTTTGTTCAGTTAATGTCTTTTAATTAAAACGTACTTGTTGTTGGGATAAAGTAGCCACCCCGAGACTTTGCGTCTGCTGGCTGCATTGACCAGTAGAAGCCCTAGCGTGCAAGGATTTTGTCAATAGAGTTTGCTTATTAACAGGTACTACTTGGGAAGAAGGCGTCGTCTGTGATGCCATAAGCACGGGCTTCGTCGCGGCTGCGAAGAGAAGATTTATATAGATATCGCTGATTGTTAAGTGCAAAGTATTATGCGGACAAAAGTTTAATCACGATTTATTTCATGAATATCAATATGGCATTGTTGACTTACCCATTATAGGAGTTAATACTTGTTTGTTACCAGATAGTATCAATTGACTCGCCGTTACTGTTTTCGCAACTGTCACCAATTGATTCGATAAGACAGCCGATTTAACTTGATTCGACTGTACTTGACGAGTCATATGATTAAATCGTGGTCTTTGAGATCCAATAAGTTGGATTGCTTGTCCTCCCTAAGATTACATAATGTTATATGACTTAGTATGAAGTGCTCACACACGAATTGCATTTCTCATATAAAATGCAATTACTACTTCAACTCGTCCCTTAATTTACGCGATGCTCGTTCCACATAGATTTTTTTTACACGGTTGAGAATCACGTAAATGGAGACAAAAAAACCGTAAGAGAAAAGCACGTGTATGTTACGTATTTTTGGTTATTGACTTTTTAGTTATGTATTTTGTTTATCTATACATAACTTTGGGCCAGTTAACGGTTAAAACTTAGCTATATAATGTCTCTTTACACGCAGTTTGTGCTGCCCTGCTATATGCTTTATTTATACGAAGTGTAGAAAAGTAAATTTATCACTTGTGCGAACAAGCTTAATGTGCTCTCTAATATGCTCAAAAAAGGCTAGAATAATATAATAAGTACAATCAAGTAAGAACTTTAGCTTACTAATATATAATAATTTCAATAAATACCATAGAAAGATATATTTTCTGACCGCGTAAATCTGAGACCATGTATAAAAAGTATCGTGTAAACGGAACGATTATTTACCGCGTATAAAAAGTATCGCGTAAATCGAGGGATGCATATCTTAGGAGTATAAAGATTTTATCCTTATTATCTGTTAAATTAATACCTGTGCAAGAGTCACTGCGTTATTGTTCCTCATACTTTGCTGCGACAATCCTTTTACCCCAGATGGTATTAATTGGGCTAAAATGTATACAGCCAATTAAATATTTAGAGATTTTTTTATATATAAAATAAATATCAGTCAATAAAATAAATAGGCTTGTTTGTTTTCGCTGCACTTCTGAACTAGTGCAATAAGTTAAAATAAAAGAAAATATATGTTTCATTCTAACTTATTGTACTAGATCAAAAGTGCAGCGAAAACGAACAGGCCTAATATCATCTAAATCTCAAGATAGGCGCATATTTTAAGTTTCTTTATCTATATCTCAACTTCTTATAAAGCTCCTTTATGTATCCATAGTTTTCCATAGATAAAATTATAGGAACTAAAGAGGTTTGTAAAACATAATCTGTTTTTTTAAATATAAATATTTAGCATAAAAAAGCTAAGAAAGATTGAATTTAGACATAAAATAAGCTTAATCAGTGGTACCCATTGTACAGGATATAATAATTATATATTACCGATGGGTAAAGACAAGTGAGCATTGGCAGGATTGGCGATCACCACCGTTGGTGTACTCCCGGCGATAGCTGTCGTAACGACTGTTGCAGCTACCATCTGAAATAGTATAACGTTCGGACAATATTCGATTAATTACTGATAAATTACTTAGGGACTTATTTATTCGTCAAACACATGTATATTTTACACATTGATATTAACTTTTTCAATAAACACTTTCATGAATGAGAATTCATACATATGTACGTGAAGAAAACTATTTTATCCACTACTATGACTTTACGAAGAATGTTTTACTTTAAGCTAATTGCATCAAAAAAGTTACTTGTATAAACAAGTCGATACTAACGCTCGATACTGTCGTGCAGGTATTTGTGGCAGATGATATAGGGAGGGAGACAATGACCCCAGTAGGTGTGACGGTGCCGCCAGTGGTCGGAGACATGTTCAACGACATCGTGATAGGTTGCGACAAGCCTGGGAATGATACCTGGAATGGACAATGTGTCAATTTATTTCGATCTGTATCGGCTTGTATGAGAAAAATTAACTGCTATTTTAAACAACCTGAACGTTTTGTAGACCGTTGATGGAGTTCGGCAGACTAGTGAGGTTCACGCCCTGTAGATTCACGTTGGTTGGCGATGGGCTAGTCATCGGACTCGCTGGTTGACTGCTCTGACTGGAAGAAGCGGTGAGCCGTTCGAGCAGTGATGAAGTCGAATTCATTCCAGGTATCGGGTTGTCAGCCGATGGCGTGCCTGTTCATATGTAAAAATTATATTACTAATAAAAATAAAAAAAATGGATATTTGAAAGAAAGCTCGTTTAAATTATATTCGATGAATATTCTCAACGCTCAAAACGTTAGATTATGTAAAAAGTTTGCCAAATTTAATGCTTAAATTTTAGTAAGATGTATAATCAAAAACTTCTTAATCCATGACAAATTAATGTGGAACAGACTGTATTTTATATTTTCTTGTTAAGTAGTAGGTAATAATTTATAGATATCGTTTATTGTACCAGCAAGTAAAGCCGAAAGTCCCGGCATTGATAAGCCAAGAGTAGACGTAGGGTCTTGGACTCGCGCAAGTCTTACAGCAGTCGCTTTCACTGGTTGTTGCTTGCAACTTAGCTGTCCCGTTAAAGCGGAGGAGCTTAAGCTCACGCGTACCTGAAATCGAGTAAGCAATATTTAATTATATACTTTATATCAAAATAGCTGTCAAATAATTAACTATCAGTTATATTTCAAGAATGAAACATAGATATATTAATTAAAATATATTAAATGTATGTAACACAAAACATAAATAAAACAAGACAAATTAATTGAATTATTTATTAAACATACTTGACCAGTGGTGTTGGGCACGTTGATCACATTGCCATGACTGATAACTCTAGATGGGATGGAAGTATTAATGGAGATCCTTTGGGGTTGAACTTTTCGCTGAGCTATATTCGCAGGGGTGCTATTTAATAGACTAAGAATCGCGGCATTGTTGGACTTGTTTGTGGCTTGTGCATTGTTATTCATAGCTGCGGCCGCAGCATTGGCTACAATATACATAAAATATAATATCAATTATAAATCTACATACGTACATACATTCATAAAAGAATTATATGATCAAAGGACGCAAAAACATGTATTTGCTCATTTAATTTCACGAAATGCATAGTGCGAAACTCGCCCAATCTGCAGAAATAAAAATACTTTCTCTGGTTGCAAACAAATATAGACATAACGTTTAACTCGATATATCAAAATTGCGCAATTTTTACAATGTGAAGCGATAACGAACCTGCAGCTTGTTGCTGGAATTGCTGTGCGGAGTTCATGAGGGAATTAGCAAGAGCGCTTATTGCTGGATTAGTCGAATGTTTCTTGTACGGTGGCTCATTTTGGTTCTGATTGGCAGCATCACCTATGCAGTTCTGTGTTCTTGCTTGCAATTGCGCTTGCTGCAAATTTTAAAAGATTATATAAGATTATATATGAGATATAAAAGATTAAAGATTAAAAAAGATTATTAAATCTTAAATTTAATGCAATTATTTATTAATTTTGTGTACTGCCAAATTCAAGGTCCAAATTTATAGTTATAAAATGTAGAGAAATAAATGTGAAAACTTACCAAAACTGGAACATTGGTGGCTGCTGTATTATTAATAGTACCAGCCGACTTCTGAAAGATCAGAATACCAGAACCGTTACAAGTGTTGTCCGCTACTGCCATTGCGGAGTTATTAATTTGCACGGAGGTCGACGCGTTAAGGCCACCATTGGCCAAAGATTGCCCTGAGCTCAATGCGGTAATGTCATTCTGCGGGATAACTTGTGGAATATTCGCGGAGTCCACGCACGTCAGATTATTTTGTGCAGAGGTGGTGGCTTCTGTCATAGCTTTCATTGAGGCTACTTGATTAGCCAAATTAGTTAGTTGTCCTTGAGCCCGTGATAAAATCTGAAATGACGCGCGGATTTGCTGAAAATGTTTGCACGGCTGTTATAAAATTGTAACATATACACATTTATATATCTTTTTGTGTTTCTATGCACCAAGAGAGGCATTTAAAGAGGGGGATTACGGTTTAAAACTTAAAAAATATTTGTCTGCAATATTTTTATAGTACATCTCAAGAATATGTTCCTATAGTGTTATTTCGAAATTCGAAGAATTGATGAAGTTATAAGCGATTTAGCACAGATATTCGTCCGAGCGTTCGGCACGCTCAGGTAGGAATCGGAGCGCGCAAGGATTCGGAAAACCCCAGGCATAAAAAAAAACATGATCTTCTAGGTATACGATAAAGTAGAAGTAAAAGGTCTGCTTTATGAATCAGGAATAGCAGATTATATAGCCAGAAATTGACTGTATGAAAAAATTGTCTTAATAGTATCTGAAATTTAAAGTTTTACTCGAAACCGTATTTGTTAAGTCAGTCGACATCAGGGCACGTATTCCGAAAAGTTCCATAATACGTGCCCAAAACTCAATAATTTATAATCGGATCGGCTTCAGATCATGGATAATTCAAAATAACTGTTATATCTTTGGTGTAAACTTATAAAAACAATAAAAAATTAATAAACTATTTTTTTGCGAAAAATGGTGGAAAATATGATGAAAATCGATCCTTTCTTCAAATAAGTTTTTTAAAAAAATTTTATTTTTACCCAGAGCGAGGTTTACGCCAAAAACACTAATAACAAATAGTAATATATCTCACATGTGTTTCAGATCGATAACACAATCGCCTTGTGCGATATGGTGCAATGTTTTAACTTGGCCAAATATTTATAAAATTAACAAAAATTTGTACTTCATCAATCTATAAAAGTGCCCCTAAAATTTCAATTTAATCGGAGTTATAGTTTTCTTTTAAAAAATTTCTAAATTTTCTGTGTTTTAAACCAGGATCCCTCCTTTAAGAATTCTGCTTCTGGTGACTCCTCCATTCACATTCAAAGAAAGAAAAGTAAATCGAGTTTACAAACCTGTTGTGCTACGTGTTGGGGCTGAACCTGCTGCAACTGTTGAGCCGCTGCTAATTGCGCCGCTTTTGCTTGTTGCGCCTAATAGAATAATAATAAATTTATTTAATGAAAATAGTCGAAAGGAAAGATAAAAAATAAAATAGTTGAACAGACATTAAATGGAAAAAAAAGATGACACGTACCTGATGTGCTCGCAGCATGGCAGGTGTACATGCAATACGAGGAGTCTGCCCTGGTATAATATGTTTTATTTTCACATGTTTCCTACCCTCTTCTGTAAATATTTCTTTAAATTGCTGATAATAATGATTGGCCACAGCTCTGGTACCCAATGTAAACCTAGAAAATTAATTCAGTAATTTATTAGTAAATAATTGTGATTTGCGCAAAACTACATAGACATTTGTCTATGTAGTTTTAGACGTAGCAATAATATAAATGCACCTGCAAGAAGAGCCATTTCTCTCTCCATCCCTATGATTTTTGTCCATATAAAGTTCTCCCAGGTACTCGGAAGTAGCAGGCCTCTGGAGAATCGAGAGCTTTATATAATCCTGACTTTCCGCAGGTTCTAATATATATTCTTCTATAACTTGTGGCGAACAGTCTGTTGTTTCTTGTGGCCGCTCGTATAATTTCGCGAATCTAATCGAATCCCATTGCTAATTAATTTCGCGGGTATCTTACAGTAAGTTATAAAAAAATGCAACGTAGATTGCAAGTAATGCGAATGAAAATGTGGAGAAAAAACATGCTTTGGTAAGAACCTTAAAACATCGGTCTGTTTAGGTGCAGGCAGCTCAGGAATTTTAAGAGAAGGCGGTGGACAGGCAGTATTGGTCGCTAATCCTCTTCTTTTCGTACGGGATTTCTGCATTAAGTCATGTATTGTTTGTCCTTCCGGCTGGGCCAACTGTTCCAATTTTCTTTTTCGATTTACTGTGACCTGATGTCAAGCAACACAGTGTCTCCATGATATTTACGTTCAAATCAGATGTAACGCATAGCAAGCAGCGCAATATATGCACATTGACTAAATCTCTCTAAATTTCTCGAAATGTTGCTATTTGCAGTAGAAATATCCCTTATAGAATTAAATTTTATATAGAATTAAGCCTTTTTTACTATTTATATTATACAATAAAAATATAACATCCTATGGAATATTAATTTTCTATAAAATATAATTTTTTCATGCAACATTCAAATACTATCCTTTGATATCTAGTATCTAATAAATATTTCTTGCAACTAAATCTTCAATTTTATTACATTTAATTAATAGATTGTAAATAGGTTTGAAACTAAAATATTACCTGAGAGAATTTTTTAGCTTGCCGCATGAGTTGATGATCGGTAAGCAATGATTTAGATTGCTTAATTCTTGTACTAGCTAAGGTAGGAATAGGATTCGGATCCAAGCACAAAGGACCTTGAGTAGCTGCCACTAAATGTGACTCCAACATTAATCGCTCCTCGTGGCTCCAATCTCCGTCACTTGTAAGTGTCGATACATCCGAAAGTACGCTCTATGCAAACAGTAAATTTCAAGATTTAATTTAAAACATTCAATATAACTGAAATAGACTTTAATGATATATTAGTCAAAAGCATAATTGCAATTATGCTTCTGTGTATGCATGCAATATGAATAATTTTTACATTAAAACCATAAAAATGCACTCAGTATTGCACTAGTTTTTTTTAGTAGAAAACGCTATTAGAATCATTGTAATATTGTTATTCTTATTATTATATATCATCTTTAATCTTTAATCTATATACCTTTGATGACGAGATCTCACCTGTGTGGTAGGTTTAAGAAGTACATGGTGAACCTCGGCTCTGTTGTGAAGAAATGATCTTCGATAATCTCGAACTTCAGCGATCATACAGCCGTCGTAAAATAAATGTGAATAACTGGATTCTAATTGTTCGGCTAGCATAGCTGGCAATTGGCCATTATCTATGCACGAAAGTAGCTCACCCTGTTCGTAACCCATGAGTTGAGTCTCAGCTAATGAATTTTTATCGTACTGATTCCCCTTATCGCTGTCGAGAAATAATATCTTTGTATTAATTCCAAAACTTAATTCCAAAATTAAAGAATTAACGTTTATTTCAATAAATTAATCACACATATGAATGCATTTTTCTCTTCTGATATGTATCTCAAAAAACTTCAAACCTGATAGGATTATAATGTTTAACAATTTTAAATCTGGTACTAATAGTATATCATAATAAATTTGTGACATAAAGACGACTACATAGCAACACTAGAAGCGGGCAACCAAAAGAATCAACAGTTTAAATGAATAATGTATTTATTTTCGCGCAAAAAACATTGCAAGGTTTATAATCTAATTATAATCTAATCTAAAGCTTGTAATAGGATTATCATTGTCAATTATCATTAAATTTAAAAAGTTAGATACTATCATTGCTAATCAGCATTTCAGATGTTTTAGGATGATAATCAGAATTATGAAACAGATCCTTACCTATTTCTTACAGCTAATGAGTATCCTTTATTACCAGCGTATAGATTAACGATTAACGTATTTAAACCTTCCCTTTGCACTAACCGCCCCAAAAGATCACACTCATTTTCAAGATTGTTCTGTAACATTTTAAATAAAGTACTATATTGTACGCGCATATATAAAAATACATGGAATATATGTACTATCGCGTTGCAATATATGTATTTTCGTAAAAAGCAAGTAAAAATGTAGTAACAAATGCTTTGAAGTATGAACATACCAAAACTGAATCTGGGGTTGCATGAGGAACCTTGGAAAGTTCTTCAAAATAGAGTCTGGTGAGTTTGGATTGGATACTATGCCTGGAGTGACTCTGCTCTTTTTTCTGGGAGGATAATGGTTTATCCGATGTTAAGGCCAATGAATTTTGACCTTGGGCATTTTTCCAACATCTGGATACCAGATCCTGTATAAGCAACGCAATGAATGGCTGTACAATCATTCAATTATAATTTTATCATTACGGGCCTGTTTTCTATTGTTGCGCTGACTTTCTATGGCTGCACTAGTTCGAGAAGTGTGCATATACATTGAAGAAACGTACATATGAGACTCTCACGCTTTAATGTATGTACGATCTTCGAACTAGTGTAACTAGTGCAGCAATAGAAAATAGACCCTTTATAAGATGTGTTTCAAAACCATCCTTTTTAATAACTGATTAAAAGCTTTGAGACATTAAAGGAATTTCAGTTTGAAACATTTGCCACGCACCTGAGCCTGCCTACACGCATCTTCCAAAGTACAGGCTGTACTAATCATTGTAACTTCTGATTACTGATGCCACTCAATGTCATATCTGATGCGGTAATAATCGTTCATATTCTGAAAGATATCCATCAGACGTGTTATTCATTTACATAAACAGCAACTTGGGTCGAAATTAACATTGAATATTAACAATATTAATTTGCAATTATAAAAATATATATATTTAAAACGGCTATTGATTCTCTTGTGATACAGAATCTAAGTACACTATAATAAATAATAGGGAAGTTTATAGTGCTTTAAAGAACATCTTCTTTTTTAAGACAAGAATTTGATTGGAAATAAAATAATCTTAATAATAAACAGTATTGAAATTTTTAATATTCAATTTCTAAGTATTAAATTATTTCAACGGTTTTCAGCTTAAAAATTCTTTACGTCAAAGATATAACCTATAAATAAGATAATTATGATTATAATCGTCACTGATTTAGTAAAAATATAAAAAAATTAAACACAAAATAATCTACTCTGCCATCTTTTTGAACCTTTTTAGGTTAAAAAAATACATATTCAGGTGTTGCAAGAAAGAAAAAAAGGAAAA